ATATGCATATTTATAATCATACGGTTCTTGGAGTGAGCGCATACACTCGTGAAGTTTAGTAACTTCCGGTCACTGCAACAAGCCCAGGTACAGTTTACCGCCGGATGGGTACAGGACCTTGAAATGCACCGTGTAGAACGAAAGACCATCGTACGTATCACAAGTTTACCAGTCTCACAAATTGTCGTCATAAATACACATTCCTTAACCATTTATTAATAGGACCTTTGAGCTCAACGGTAATTAATTAGTAGTGGAAATAATTTCTGGTACGCGTTACAGAAATGTAGCAGTGACAATAATACTGTATGCTGTAATCGTACTGGACAATTAGTGATACAAAAAACCTGTTTTATCCTGTGAATAAAAGTATATGTTTTTGTCAATGTACCATAATAACAGAGGCGAAACGCAATATTGTGTCAGGACAATTCACTATTTATGCACAATAAATAAAGGAGCATAGCGCGACAATTTCTGCTCAGTGCCAGACTTGCTTGTAACCTATATCACCAATTATGTTATGAAAATGATGTATTAACTACTAAAAAACACTGACCTTCGTGTAAATGCTTGGAGCAGACTAACCTGAGCTGGAGTGTTCTGGGACGTTATATTTGATCTTTGAATGGCTGCAATCCAGGCCATCCGTCGCGTCTTTGTTACTTCGGAAACATGGCTTGAACAATTTCTCTTCAACGACGTAATCCGATAACAACCGATCTCTTTACCCGTCGGCTTCCCGTGGCTGTCATGCGACCGGCTATTGCAGTTAATAATACAACGGCTTCTTGACATTTTTGTGTTTCTTTTTATCGCTGTGTGACTGATTTCAATTGAAAGCCTGCGTGCGCTAGTACCTCTTGCCACGAGTTCCCAGAATCCTTTGCGGTTTACCCCTGAATGACGTCACATTTTCAATCTCTATATGCATGTTAAATTTTATATTTGGGGTGAAATATCAAGTCTTTTCAAGTAAACCGGTTCAAGTCCAATTCAAGTCCCAGGTCATTGGTGTAAAAGTCCAAGTCAAGTCACAAGTCTTAGAACATTTTTTCAAGTCAAGTCTAAAGTCATAAAATTAATGACTCGAGTCTGACTCGAGTCCAAGTCATGTGACTCGAGTCCACACCTCTGACAACAGCACTGAAATGCAGAAAGGAAGAAAAAGTAGCATGCTGCTAAATGAAAAAAAAACAACTTTTTTTGGGGGGGGGAAACAGTAAAACAGTTTTACCGAACAATTTCTTCTTTCTTTTCGACATTAACAGGTCCATGATAGCCACAACTCAAAATTTCATCAGTGAGTTCTGTCATTTTATCTTCTGTGGCCGAATCAACCTTAAAGGACACAAACATACACATTAACATGACCAATTCCAGAGTCCTATAATTTGCAAATAACATAAGGGATGGTAAAATCTGTGCTAAACATGTAATTCAAAACACTGTAGAGCAGTGAAACCTTTAAGACTTCATACCTGGGAGATAACAGAAGTATAATGAACATCACAGACATCCTCTTTCCTAATGTTCTCAATCTGCAGCTCTCCACTGCACAAGTACTGGTAACACCAATCTTTGAGGCAGCAGGGTGGTGGCCCACCTTGCGCCAGACTAACTGCCCAAATTTCACCAGCACTACTGTGAGAGGAGAAGAGATAAATAACATCAATCAGGTAATTTCCAATGCGTGTGTGTGTACACACAACTGCAGACCCCAATGCATGTGAGAAAGGCCTACCGGAAGTTTCCTAGATCGAGATCCAGCAATGAATATTTGGGAGCCTTCCCAGTCTGGTCACCCTCAAATAGCCGTTGCTCCAAGCCTGCAACCATTTCTTTTAACACAAATAGTTAGTCCGGTTAAGTAGCCATTTTCACTCCTATCAATTTAGATCACATTTTAAATATGAGTACCTGTGAGGAATTCTTTCCGTCAAAGAAAGGGGAAAAAACCAGCAACTTTAAAAGAATGGAATTGTGATGTGATTGCATACATCTGATGGTTGCTTATCTGTCAACTTTCATTACAAATACAGCTTACATGGGCTACCCACTTTAGATATAAGGAATAAATCCAACCTCTAATAATGAACCTCTTCAACTTGGCTATTGTAGGACACTTTAATCAAACTCAATTTTCTCCCCATTCAATGTAAGGCATCATATTTATGTTCCCGTCTTTGTCATGCACAGTCAAATAGATAAAGGTTAAAGGGGTACAAAACTTCACCTTTAGATGTGAGTTAAGTTGATCGTCTTCTGTATGTGGTATGGGATGTGGTGTGTCCTCTATGTCTTCATTACAAGTCTGATAAAGGAGAATAGCAAGTACAAACTTAATAAATTACCTACAGAAACACAAGCAAGTGTAGTGACATCCATTGAACATGAAGCTCCTGACTGATAAAAACATTTTCAAAACATGTTTCAGTCATTACGTAGTTTTATAGGACAAAGCTACGTGTAATGTGATCTCCCAGACTCATCCATGCAACGGGACTGTACACACCACTCTGCATTAGTATCTGAAGGCTGACATGTTTCAACATGCATTGCTAAGAGTTGAAGTGGGTAGCTGGTTTGACATGAGTGGCACATCGCTTTTGGCATATTGGAAAAGGAGCTAGAGTCAGGAGGCAGCGGCTGAGTGTCTAGCTCTTCCTGGATTGGAGCAATGTAAAGGACGGTCATTCCCCCAGCACTTGCATTTTTTTAGCAGTGACCCAGTATATCCACTGTCCTCAGGAGGCACCATATTTAGTTTCCGAGAACCCCATCCACCTGTCGAGAAAAGTGAGTGACTCAGTACTATTTAAAATGTGGCAGTACACATTGCAGTGCATTCATGGTCATGATATCATCAAAATTCTTCTATAACTATCAATTCAAAAGTTGGAATGGCCATTAAGAGGTTTTTTCTACCTGCTCCTTTGTAAATCAGCCAGCCCCCAGAAACACTTTCCAGTTTTGGATACAGATCTTTGAGTCTTGAACATACCTTTGAAATAAACCATCGGCCACCAAATTAATTGACTCTGAATAAAGACAAACACTTTTTGCTCGTTAACTTACAACAAATATATTTTCCTGTCAATGTGGAGCAGTACCTTACCTCATCATGACTGTAGCTGTCAGGTATCAGTGTAGACCTACGTCCCAAACCAGCTTGCAGATGGACAAATTCTTCACTGCCTTTTGGAGTAGACTGAACAAGCTTGGGTAAGAGATAAAAATTAAGTTGTATCTCTTTAACTGGTGTGAATTGGTTGGCAGGCCCTCGAAAGCATCGGCGCTTTGCTTTGTTTCCATAAAGAGCAGGAAAAGACCTGTGAAGACATGTTGTAAGTTGATATAAAACAATACAATTGTACATCTGAACAAGTTATGGGTATTGAGAACTTAAATGAGTAAGTATAAGGAACAACAAGTCTGACAAAGGAACAAATACAACAAGGAACCTAGTCATTTCTGTGTGGATACTTGGTCGGCCATCTCTCCCTCTCTCCTGACTCGTTTCCTGTCTGCTAGAATGACACAATATTCAGAAGATGCATCACATCATTTTATGCTAACTAATTAATATAATACAACAGTAAAACACATGTCAAATGATTCAAAAGTCATTTGGTAATCTGTGCATGTGTTGTTTGTGTCTAGCTTCACAAAACCTGGGAGGCTCTTGGTGAGTCTGAACACTGGGCTGAACAGTGGTAGAAGTTAGTAAATTTAGCAGGTGTCTTGCTGACCTGACAATTGAGTATGTTAAGAATTGAGGAGTATGTTAAGTATGTTAAGAGTACTGTGTATTTAATCATACACTATGTAACAGAAAAGTTATATATCATATCACACCGAAGTGATCAGTAATGATCCAGACACTAGAGAGTGATATTATACCCCTTTCGTCAAACGCAGTGATTTATGACCCCTTAATTGATTTATGACCCCTAATTAAATTATCCCTAATTAAATTATTCATGAGCTCCGGAAGTAGGAAGTAATTAAATAATAAAAATATGATATTCATAAAAAATATGATATTCATAAAAATATGATATTCATAAAAATATGATATTCATAAAAATATAATTGATTATTTAGAAAGTTTCTTATATATCAAATTAGCATTCTTTTATTTCTTTAAGCAATTAAAAATTTATTTATTTTTTTATGCTCAAAAAACGCCATCTGGTGGCGGGTCAGTGTGTGTGCGCGCGCCCGCGCGCGCCCGAGGCTGTGTGTCTGGGCGCGCGGGGGCGCGCCCGTGTCTCCGGACCGTGCTCTCTCGGGCTCCGTGCTCATGTGTTTAAAAATGTATTAAACCATATTAAAATTGTTTAGTTAAACTTGTGCTTTTGTAACGTTCAGTATGGCCACAAACACATGCTGCATGCCTTGGGGGAAAACTTTATTTAGATTTATATGCATTTGTAGATTTAGAATAAAACTCATACTCAGAAAAACAACTCGCGATCCCCTAACCCTCCTTAGATACATAAGCAGGGAAAACTCCTTAAAAAACCCTCCGCTATTTCTCCAAAACCCTACAATAACTTGTTAGGGTACCCCTCTATTCCCAAAACCTTATATTCGATAACAGGGAAAAATCCTGAAAAATCCTTAGTCTTTTTTCTCAAATTCAGCGCCCCGCGGCTCCCTTCATGCTCAGTCAAACAAAGCCAAAACTCCTTTTAAAAATTTCTCCGTGATTTCTCCAAAACCCCTAGAATAACTTGTTAGCTACCCTCTATTCCCCAAAAAAAGCGCTATAATCCAAAAACATTGGGAAAGCTCCTTACTCTTTTTCTTCAAAAACTTGCCTCTTGCTAGCTACCTCTAAAATTCTACGCAGAGTCTAAGTTCTACCTCGCTCTTAATCGCACCGACCTGCAACAGCTTCCAGAGCACAATTTTTTCCTGCTTGTTCGCTCCCCGCTCTGGTCCCGAATGCGCTGCTTACCTCGTTTGAAAATTCCCCCTTAGACCAACTCCGCCTCACTGCGCCCCGCTGCCAATCACATAACCCTTGCACCGCTCCCTTCGCACCCCGGTTAGCCAATCCGCTCCAGCTCTGATTTTACGATCTCCCGCTGATGTTAAGACTATCTTCGAACCCCAGAAGAGATCTGACTTCAGACGTATCAACAACTGGCGCCGCTCAGACTGCTTGCGAGCTCAACAGCCATGAAACCAGGGATCAACAACTACCTTCGCGTGCCCTATGTGCATATCACTCGGTAAGTGTTAATCTTCCTCTCTAACTACATTTTTCGCATTTTCCTTTTTACCATTCTGTCAATCCTTTCATCTTCAAAAAAGCCATGCAAATAGGCTCTGTAACACTTGGAATACACTTTTTAAAACATATATAAGCTCCCTCTAACACTCAGAGCTAAAAAGTGCATTTGTAAGTTAAACTATAGCAGCGATCATGGCCTCATCAGGTACCTCATTTTTCTCACTCTTGTTCATATAATGTTTATATTTTTACTGTTTTTTCCCCGTTTGTAAATACTCGATGTTATTTCTTTTCAGACTCTGAGATAAACCTGCTCAACTCCTCTTTTTTTGAGTCTCTCGATCGAATTGGTAGGTTTGGTTCATTCTTGTTCCCCTTCTTAACAGCTAATTGTACAAGAAAAACAAAACATTAACCCTCTTTTTTCATTTTTATCAAACTTTCTAGATATCTCTGACTTGGACACCTTTATTGGTACGAGTTCCCCGAATTCTTCACCACCAGTGCTTGTGCGATCCACAGGAAAGAATATTCGTCTCTCCACACGGGACAGACAGCATTTGCTCTCTATGCTAGATCGCCCTGCTTCATCTGGCCCCAGTTCCATTCCCGTCGGAGCTTGTTCTCTCCCGCAACCCGCTGGGAAAAACCTGCGCCTGTCCGCCGGGGACAGCCAAGATTTGCTCTCCGAGCTCACTCCCGATGCTCCGGCCGATCGGAGCCCCAGAAACGCTTCTTATTCTCCGCCATCAGACACACGAAATGCACCGCGCCTGCCTTTGAGACCCAATCACGGTCAGTCTCTCTAGGTTCTCGCTTTTTTCTCATTTCTTTTTTTTAAAATAAAAACTAACCCTTTTCTATTTAACTTTACTAACTGTTTGTATCTTACCCTCAAATTCTCAGGGCGTCTCAGAAGGAGGAGTAGCAGGACCCGCAGGTTCGCAAGGACAAGGAGGACAAAGCGAACATGCACCCGAAGGCAGCTGGCTTCAATCGCTCTTCGCGCGGTATCTCTGTTTGCTGAATTAGTTCAGCTCATCTTATAAAAACTTTGTTTTTGATATTTTTTTTTCATTTTGCTTTTCAAACATACTCTCTTTTGTGGTTTTTTTCTTTTAATATATTCCTGTTAAACAATAATAATAAAATAAATGGATAACCAGGAACAAGATATTACAGACCCGTTTCTTGCTTTAGAAACAGCGTTAGCTAGGTTAAATGAAAATATACACCATTCTCAGATTACATATTCACAAAACAGTGAGCAACCTGAGATGATCAGTAATAATGATCCTTTAGAATTGCTTAATTTAGCTCTTGCCCGATTAGCACCCAATGAAAGTGCCTTTCAAAATATTTCTTTGAGTTTGGGATTGGATCATGATGAGATCCAAACAGAGTCAGACGCGGTTCATTCACAAATGAGTCTGACACAAAACATCTCCTCTTCTGATCCATTTTTAGCAATTAATAGAGCGTTAGAAGCTTTGGCTCAAATACAAAATGAGGTTCAAATACCGCCAGAGTTATTGAGTCAAATAAACAGGCTAAATCAAAATCGTTTCATTGATTCTCAAAGCCAGCATTCGCTAGTCTTTTCCCCAGACAATGCGTGTCCCAACGAACCGCTCAGCTGCAGCCCACAGCTACAGCTGTCAACCACTTTCAATGACTCTAATCATCAATCACTCAGCTCTCCCGCAGACATTGTCTCTGCGAACGAGCCACTTAACCCAGTAAACCATGATCACTCCTTTCAACAAGGGGGTAATCCAGACCAGAGTTGCGCCAGTAATTCAGCACAACCCTCTATAGTTGTTAGAAATAAATTTAATAACGTTGAAATTAGAGAAATTTTGAATTTTCCTCCTCCAAACGATATACCCGACTATGCCCATTATTATCAAAGCGTAATGTCTAGTGCACGTGAAATATCAAACAGGGTTTTCTCTCACGCACGTCCAGGTGATTATATCCAGTTAGAATTGATAGGCCAGCAGTTACAAAATAATGTTTCAGTGATTTTACGTGATAATCATGATTTATCTGAATTTGAAAATTTATTCTTGAGAGCGGTACAGTCAAACTGGTCAGTAATGTGTGATGGCTCGTTGGAGGTTGTAGCTCAGATTGTTACACCCCCAAATGGCAGTGGGAAAAGATTGCTTAAACACATACTCGACAGCGAAATTGTGAAAAAGAAAACACGGTTTTTATACGTGGTCCATAACCCCTCGAATAAGTTGTGTTTTGCTACAAGTGTTGCCCACCTTCTGCAACCCGATTTTAATGACTATCAAGCACAAACTTGCTAGAGAAATTCAACAAAAAGCTGGTCTAAATGATCAAACGCCTGTTGGGTTTAATCAAATAATTACATTTGAAAGGTTACTAGGATGTAAAATTATAGTATTTTACCGTAACGAGCATGATCGCACCCTTTGTAAATTTCAGACTAGTACAGTGAATAGCACAAAAGCCTTGTGTTTATTTTTATTTGACAATCATTACTACGCTATCAAAAATCTTAAAGGATTTTTGGGCACAGCGTATTTGTGTACTCATTGTTACATAGGCTTTAACCATGTGTTATCCCATTTCTGCCCTGCTCGTTGCTCAGTCTGTATGCAGCCTGACTGCAACGATCATTTCCTCTCCCCTATTGTATGTACCGATTGTAATCGCACCTGTAGATCTCGTTATTGTTTTGAGAGCCATAAAAAACTCGTTGAGAGGCGTGAAAGGTCTGCCAGCAACTGTGAGCTCTACAGGAAATGTATCAAGTGCTCAAGGCTATATTACTTAGCAGCATATGAAAAACCTCACAAATGCCAAAAGAGAAAATGCCAAATCTGTCGTCAGGAAATCTCTAGTGATCATCAAACACATCAGTGCTATATGCAGGTTTTACAACGCGAAACAAAACATAATAATGATTTTGAAACTTTTGTTAACGAACACGGTGAGCACAGCCCTTTTCTGGTGTGCACAAAAACATCAGATGGTAAATCTTGGAGCTCTCAGGGTGAGCATTGCGTTGAAAACTTTCTTGCTCATTTTAGACGCCCCCTCTTCAAGGGCTCAATCTTTATCGCTCATAATGCAAAGGGTTTCGATGCGTACATTATCCTTCGCGGGTTAGTTAGCGAGGATTAAAACCAAACTTGATAATGCAAGGTTCCAAAGTGATCAGCTTTACAGACCCAGACTTAATCACATTATAGACTCGTCATGCTTCCTACCTATGCCATTGTCAGCTATCCCGAAAGCGATGGGATTTTCAGATAGTGTTAAAGGTTTTTTTCCTCATTCTTTCAGCTCCAAACAAAACCTAACTTATGTTGGACCGTACCCTCCCCCTTCCGCATTTAGTCTCGAGCGCATGACATCAAAAATTAGACAGGAATTTTACAAATGGTATGATTCAGTCAGCTCTGGCCCCTTCAATTTCATGAAACAGGCACTGTTATACTGTAAAAATGATGTTGAAATTCTAGCTCGGGGTTGCACATTGTTTAGAAACGGGTTTATTGAAGAGACAGGAGTAGATCCTTTCAGTCGCAACACGCTTGCAAGCGCTTGTCTTAAAATGTATTTGACAAACTTCATGCCTGCCAATTCTCTGGCCCTGCCCTGTCCTTTAAATTACCATAATCAGGTAAAATCATTTTCCTCATCCTCAATTCAATGGCTCGAATATCTCTCGTGTGCGCAAGGTGTTTTTATCAGACATGCGCTCAATCAAGGAACATGGTATGTAGATGGATATTCCGAAAATAATGGTAAAACATATGCGTGGGAATTTTTGGGCTGCTACTTCCATGGATGTATTAAGTGTTTTTCCAATCAGTCCGATGTTAACCCCCTGGTAGGTTCCTCTTTTGCAGAGTTAAACAGCGCCACTCAAGACAGGCTCGCTAGATTGAGAGCTGAGCATAATGTCTCTCTTGTTATAATCTGGGAGCATGAGTGGACCGAGTTAAAACGTAGTGATGAGAGTGTAATCAGCTTTCTCAAACGTTATGATCCACCAGAGCCTTTGATCCCCGCCATGCTCTCTGTGGAGGCCGTACAAGCCCAGCACAACTTCGCTGTAGTGCTGAGGCCCCGTGAGAAAATCAACTATGTCGACGTCACCTCCCTGTATCCATATGTAAATAGTACATGTAGTTACCCCTTAGGTCATCCTCAAATAATCTTTCGAAATTTTCAGGACCCTAAAAACTACTTTTGGTTTATCAAAGCCGTCGTTTACCCACCACGACGGCTCTATTTTCCGGTCTTACCATTTAAAACAAAATCAGGAAAACTTCTCTTTACTCTCTGTCGCACTTGTGCTGAAATGAACAACCAACAAGGAGCCTGTAACCATAGTAACGAGGATAGAGCACTGAGAGGGGTTGGACCACTCCCGAGTTTAACCTCGCATTAGAAAAGGGTTATGAAATAGGTCGAATCACAGAGGTATGGCACTTTGAGAGACAGAGTAACACAATATTCACAGACTATGTACATCATTTCCTGCGCAAAAAACAAGAAGCTTCAGGCTACCCATCAGATGCTGTAACTGAGGAGGCTAAACAGCTTTACATTAAAGACTACCAGGCTAAGCAAGGAATAACTTTAGACCCTGAAAACATAAAACTAAACCCTGCTAAAAGACAAATGGCCAAACTGTGTTTAAACTCTTTTTGGGGAAAATTTGGCCAGAGAAATAATCTCACACAGAGCAAACTGGTGAGTGACCCCGAGGAATTCTTTAACCTCATGTTCTCTCCAAAATACAAAGTGAGCTATTTCTCTTTTGTCAGTGATGATGTGGCTCTTATTCAATGGTGTTATGGTGACCTCTGCACTCCGCTCCCAAACTCCACAGATAACATCTTCATTGCGGCCTTCACTACTTCATATGGGCGTATGAAACTCTACAGTTACTTGGATCAGCTGCAGGAAAGAGCTATTTACTATGACACTGATAGCGTAGTGTATCTCACTAAAGAAAATCAATCTGAACTAGAAACAGGCAGGTATTTAGGCGAGCTAACAAATGAGTTAGACCAGGATGATTTCATTACAGAGTTTGTTGCAGCAGGACCTAAGAGTTATGGTTACATGACCAGAAAAGGTAAAGTTGTTTTGAAAGCAAAAGGAATCACACAAACACATGATGTCTGCGAGAAGGTCAACTTTGAATCTGTAAAGATTCTTGTTGACAATTACATTGATAACTGTGAAGGAGGGTCTACACTTGAGGCCCCTCAGCACAGTATCGTTCGTAATAAATCAGCCTTTTCACTACAAAATTCATCATTTCCCAAAAAATTCCAGGTTGTTTATGACAAGTGTAGATTGCTGCCAGGAGGTCTGACTTTACCCTTTGGTTATTGATTTTTTGTTATTCGTTTTGTTTGTTTTTTAAAAAATGTTTCAGCCTGCTTTAATCGAGTTTGACCCCAGACTTCATGTGCCATTTTCCTGTATGGTTGTCGGGCCAAGTGGCTCTGGAAAGACCTTTTTGTGAAATCTGTATTGGAAAACTGTGTACATGTTTGAACAAGCTTATTGACAATGTTGTGTGGGTTTATACATCCTTTCAACCTCTGTATTCTGAGCTTCAAGAGAAAAATAAAACATTAAATTCATCGAGGGCATTCCTGAATCATTTCAAGATGAGACCTGTTTCCCTCACACCAAAGTCATCTCATTGTACTGGACGATGTTATTTTTCAAGCAGCTAATCATCCGGAAGTGGTCCGGATTTTCACTCAATACAGACACCATAAAAATATGAGTGTGATGATTTTAGCCAGAACGTGTTTTTACAAGGTAAACACAGCAGGACGATCAGTCTGAACAGTACTTACATGGTGTTGTTTAAAAACCCTCGTGATAAATTACAAGTTAATACACTAGCTAGACAAATATACCCAGGACGTGTGCAATACTTTTTGGAAAGTTTTGAAGAAGCTACGAGAGAGCCACATGGATATTTATTGATAGATTTAACCCCCACCTGTCCAGAGCAACTAAGACTGAGAACAGGGATACTACCCTCAGAAAAGCTGTGTGTTTTCTTGCCCAGGAAAAAATAATAGAAACAATGTCTGTAAGATTGAGAAGAAACTTTGCTTTACTGAAAACACTAACCAGAAGCTCCCCTAAAATCCGTAAGGTTATTTTACAACAATGCTCACCCGATTTTATTCAGTCTGTTTGTGAGATTTGCATGAATCTTTTAAAAGGAAATATTCCAGTCACCCAATGCCAGCATAAGAAGTTGAAACGGTATAGAGAGAAAATCAGACAGATGGCCAGCAGACGGGACAGTGTTAGAAATAAAAGAAAGCTAATGAGTCAAAAGGGGGGTTTCCTGCTACCTCTTCTCACAACAGTTTTACCCATTGTGGCAGACTTGGCAATTGGGGCAATTCGCAAATAAAAATGCAGAAAATGTATCTGATCTCACCTGAGCAGATCAAACACTTAAATGAAACACATGCAAATGCTTCTCGAGTGAATATCAGAGAGAAGGCGGAGGATGATCTGGATAGTAAAATGAGACAAGTACTGGAGACTCAAGGTCTAGCCCCCGATGAGAAAATTAAAAAGTATAATATGCTTTTACAAAAGTATCTGGTGCTTGAGAGACAGAAAGCAGATGAAACCAGAGAGATAACACTAAGAATCCCCAGAGAGCGTAAAGGGAGTGAGAGTGAGAGATCCGATGAATATCATCAGGAAGAAAGCGCAGAGGGGGGAAAGAGGGGAAGTGTGAATAAGGTTTTACACGATGTTTTAACCCACATAAATCCACGTTCAAAGAGAAACACTGAATATCTAATGCGTAGAATATTAGCATCAAAAGGTCACATCGGATGGAGTGAGGAAAAATAGAGCCGTCGTGGTGGGTAAACGACGGCTTTGATAAACCCAAAGTAGTTTTTAGGGTGCTGAAAATTTCGAAAGATTATTTGAGGATGACCTAAGGGGTAACTACATGTACTATTTACATATGGATACAGGGATGTGACATCGACATAGTTGATTTTCTCACGGGGCCCAGCACTACAGCGAAGTTGTGCTGGGCTTGTACGGCCTCCACAGAGAGCATGGCGGGGGATCAAAGGCTCTGGTGGATCATAACGTTTGAGAAAGCTGATTACACTCTCATCACTACGTTTTAACTCGGTCCACTCATGCTCCCAGATTATAACAAGAGAGACATTATGCTCAGCTCTCAATCTAGCGAGCCTGTCTTGAGTGGCGCTGTTTAACTCTGCAAAAGAGGAACCTACCAGGGGGTTAACATCGGACTGATTGGAAAAACACTTAATACATCCATGGAAGTAGCAGCCCAAAAATTCCCACGCGTATGTTTTACCATTATTTTCGGAATATCCATCTACATAATAACTACCGAGTTGTTTTTCTCCTTGATTGAGCGCATGTCTGATAAAAACACCTTGCGCACACGAGAGATATTCGAGCCATTGAATTGAGGATGAGGAAAATGATTTTACCTGATTATGGTAATTTAAAGGACAGGCAGGGCCAGAGAATTGGCAGGCATGAAGTTTGTCAAATACATTTTAAGACAAGCGCTTGCAAGCGTGTTGCGACTGAAAGGATCTACTCCTGTCTCTTCAATAAACCCGTTTCTAAACAATGTGCAACCCCGAGCTAGAATTTCAACATCATTTTTACAGTATAACAGTGCCTGTTTCATGAAATTGAAGGGGCCAGAGCTGACTGAATCATACCATTTGTAAAATTCCTGTCTAATTTCTGATGTCATGCGCTCGAGACTAAATGCGGAAGGGAGAGGGTACGGTCCAACATAAGTTAGGTTTTGTTTGGAGCTGAAAGAATGAGGAAAAAAACCTTTAACACTATCTGAAAATCCCATCGCTTTCGGGATAGCTGACAATGGCATAGGTAGGAAGCATGACGAGTCTGGGTCTGTAAAGCTGATCACTTTGGAACCTTGCATTATCAAGTTTGGTTTTAATCCTCGCATAACTAACCCGCGAAGGATAATGTACGCATCGAAACCCTTTGCATTATGAGCGATAAAGATTGAGCCCTTGAAGAGGGGGCGTCTAAAATGAGCAAGAAAGATTTCAACGCAATGCTCGCCCTGAGAGCTCCAAGATTTACCATCTGATGTTTTTGTACACACCAGAAAAGGGCTGTGCTCACCGTGTTCGTTAACAAAAGTTTCAAAATCATAAAAAATCAACTTGTTATTATGTTTTGTTTCGCGTTGTAAAACCTGCATATAGCACTGATGTGTTTGATGATCACTAGAGATTTCCTGACGACAGATTTGGCATTTTCTCTTTTGGCATTTGTGAGGTTTTTCATGTGCTGCTAAGTAATATAGCCTTGAGCACTTGATACATTTCCTGTAGAGGTCACAGTTGCTGGCAGACCTTTCACGCCTCTCAACGAGTTTTTTATGGCTCTCAAAACAATAACGAGATCTACAGGTGCGATTACAATCGGTACATACAATAGGGGAGAGGAAATGATCGTTGCAGTCAGGCTGCATACAGACTGAGCAACGAGCAGGGCAGAAATGGGATAACACATGGTTAAAGCCTATGTAACAATGAGTACACAAATACGCTGTGCCCAAAAATCCTTTAAGATTTTTGATAGCGTAGTAATGATTGTCAAATAAAAATAAACACAAGGCTTTTGCGCTATTCACTGTACTAGTCTGAAATTTACAAAGGGTGCGATCATGCTCGTTACGGTAAAATACTATAATTTTACATCCTAGTAACCTTTCAAATGTAATTATTTGATTAAACCCAACAGGCGTTTGATCATTTAGACCAGCTTTTTGTTGAATTTCTCTAGCTAATGTTTGTGCTTGATAGTCATTAAAATCGGGTTGCAGAAGGTGGGCAACACTTGTAGCAAAACACAACTTATTCGAGGGTTATGGACCACGTATAAAAAACGTCTTTTCTTTTTCACAATTTCGCTGTCGAGTATGTGTTTAAGCAATCTTTTCCCACTGCCATTTGGGGGTGTAACAATCTGAGCTACAACCTCCAACGAGCCATCACACATTACTGACCAGTTTGACTGTACCGCTCTCAAGAATAAATTTTCAAATTCAGATAAATCATGATTATCGCGTAAAATCACTGAAACATTATTTTGTAACTTCTGGCCTATCAATTCTAACTGGATATAATCACCTGGACGTG